TTGAGAGTCATCACGATGTAACTGAAAGGACTAGGACATCAGTATTTGACAGGATAGAAGCTAACCATAATAGCGAAGAAGTTGATAGTACCTGGACACTTGGGTCTGATGATTTCACCACTACTGATTTGCGGGATCGACCCAACGCACGACAGAATGTACAAGCAATTGTACCTATGCCCTCAAACAACCAGGCAACTTAAAACAGGAGTAGGAGGAGAGCCGAAATACCACGATCTTCTCAAAGCCAAGTAAATAGGGTGAATCAGAACCAGAACTGACATGATAATCAAGAAGGCATGAGTCAATCCAACAGGAGCACCCGTGAGGAACAACTCGAGCAGCAGCTCAAAATGATACGAAGGTGAATGGATGACATAAAAGCCAACAAGAATTTGCCGGAAGGCGTAAGATACTTGTTAGATGAAATAGAGCCGCCATTCACTGAGGACATCATGGCAGAGGAATTCCCTGCTGATTTCAAGATGATTCCCATCAAGCAGTTTGATGGGAAAGAGAATCCAACAGGACATATACATGGATATAACACATGGATGTGAATTCGGGAAGCCACACAAGCTCAGATGTGCCAAGCATTTTCTTTGATGCTTACTGGGCCGGCGCTTCAATGGTTCCAACAATTAGAGCCAAGGTCAATTAGTTTGTTTAACTAGGTGAAACAACAATTTGTAGGACGATTTGTGATAGTGAAAACTCGCAAGAAAGATAAGCTTTATTTGTTCTCCCTTAAACAAGGAGCTGATGAATTGTTAAAAGCCTACATTGAACGTTTCAGTCAGGAAATGAATTATGTGGAAGGATACACTGATAGTGATGTTGTGGCCGCAATTCGGGAAGGGCTTCAGGAATGTGATATGTTGAAGTCAATTTACAAAAAACAACTAAAAACCTTCACCGATCTTGTGATCCGAGCTCAGAAGTTCATTAGCGCTAAAGGATACATGCACAATCGGAGAGGACAATCTCAAACGGATCAATCATAAAATGACGATAGAAGAAGGATCTAAAGGAGAAGCAAAAAAGTTGAAGTCAGAGGCACGACAGGATGTGAACAAATCCAAGACTGCCTTGACGCAAAAGTTCCAAGCTTACGCTCCACCAGATACGACAAGGGCCTACACACCCTTGAATACGACAGTGGCACAAATTTTAATGCAGATTCAACATCAGAATTTGCTGACTCCTCCAGCTCCTATGAAGGGATATCCTAACAAGAGGGATAAAAGTAAATATTGTTACTTCCATAAGGACCATGGCCATGACACCTCAAGTTGCTGTCAATTAAAAGGACAGATTGAGGCACTCATTCAATAAGGCAACTTGCAGGAGTTTGTAGACAGAGTGATAGCAGAGAGAAGAATTGCACTCCCGACAACAATGGGAAAACAAGCAACGCTCGTGGAGCGAATACAATAGTTGGGAATAATTCTGTGTTGAATGAGATCAGGATAATTTTTGGGGGACCAGAAACTGGTGATTCCATGCGGGCTCGGAACCTGTATGCTCAAGAAGCTAAAGGTCTCGATTGTGGCCAATTTGTAAATATGACAGAACATGTCACAAAATTTGCAAAGATGGAGGACATTGCCATAACCTTCATAGAGGAGGAGGCAAGGAAGTTGCTTCATCCACATAACAATGCCATAGTTGTGTCTTTGCAAGTGGCAAATAGCTTAGTCCACCGAATTTTGATCGACAATGGGAGTTCAGCGGATATACTATTCAAGGATGCGTTAACCAAGATCAACCTAGGTGGAGCAAAGTTAACATCCGTGAACACCCCACTCCAAGGCTTTACTGGAGCATGCATTCATACTGAAGGAATGACAACACTCCCAGTTACCATGAGAGAAGGGGACACAAAGGTGACAAGAATGGTAAATTTTTTGGTTGTGGACCAACCATATGCTTACAATGTTATCATAGGGTGACCGACTTTGAAGGCAATGAGAGCGATAACTTCAACATATCATCTAATGATGAAGTTTCCAACAAAGAATGGCGTTGGAGTGGTGGTTGGGAGCCAACAAGATGCACCAATCTGCTACGTGAAAGTAACCAACGGGAAGGTTGAATCAAAAGGAAGGGAAGTCTAGAAAAGTACTGACACATATTTGAAATGTTAAGCACCTTAAGAAATATTAACAATAGTTAAAAAGTTTGAAGTTTAGTGTGCGTTTTACTTTGATGTGACGCCAAGTTTGTCAGGTGAAACATATTATTACTAAATAAAGTCGAAGTGTTTGCTAATTTCTTCTTTTAATATTTTCTTTATCATTTTGTTCAATATGACAAAGAAAATGGGGGGACAAAAGTGTATAAACACGGAAAAAAAGAAAAAGGGAACAATCCTACCCCAGGTGGGCACGGGAAAATCCAAAGAGCTTCAGCTTAGAAAAACCTGACCCCAAGTGGGCTCAGGAAAATAAAAGAAAAATGGAACAATCCGACCCCAGGTGGGCACGGGAAAATCCAAAGAGCTTTAGCTCAGAAAAACCTGACCATAAGTGGGCACGGAAAAATAAAAAAAGCTTCGGCTTGGAAAAATCCGACCCCAAGTTGGCACGGGAAATAAAAAAGAAAAAAAAGAAAAAAAGAAAAGACAAGGGAACAACCCGACCCCAGGTGGGCACGGGAAAATCCAAAAAGGAAGAAACCTTGGTGTGAGAAAAGCTAAGCCTAAGTTGGGCTTGGGAAAATCTCAAAGTCGAGGAAATATTATCACGAAAAAAAAACCGACCCCAAGTGGGCACGGGAAAATCCTAAGCCAAGGGAGAAACTTGGCTAAAGGAAAAACCTGACATCAGGTGGGCACGGGATAACTCTAAACCAAACAAATATATATTTTAGCTAGTCTGCATTGATAAAATGTAGCAATTGCAAAGAAAAATAAGAAAATTATTATTATGTTGCAGGAAAGATAACAAAAGAACAAGTTTCAATAAAGAAAAAAATGCCAGCCAATCGGGCCCAAGTACACAAGAGCAAGCATGAAGAATAAATTGCAAAGCTCAAACTTGCCGGAGCCCAAGCTCGCCTGCGCTTAGTGTGCGACACTTATGGATTGGGGGGCTGATGTTGGGCGGCATTTTCGGAATCATTAAATGTGCAATAAATTCAAAGGCTCGTCGGAGCCCAAGCTCGCCTGCAGCCATTCTCATCAGAGCCCAAGCTCTCCCGAGCTGAAGCTCGTCAGAGCCCAAACTTGCCGGAGCCCAAGCTCTCCCGAGCCCAGGCTCACTAGTGCCCAAGTTTGCCGGAGCCCAAGCTCTCCCGAGCCCAAGTTCACCGAGCCCAAGCTCTCCCGAGCCCAAGCTCTCCCTCAATCCTAATGTACTATAAATTCCCTCAATTTGAGAGGAAATGACGGACACTCATTTCTGAATACAATTGTCTTCATTTTGTTTTTATTATTCCTTCCGAGGTTCTTTGTGTTCTTCGAGTGTTCTTCCAATTTTCTTATATAATTTGCTTATTCAATCCGAATTATTAGTCTAGGGACGTTGGATAAGTGTTGGACGAAATTTTGCTCCAACACGTTTGCATATATATAAGTTCTGACGCCACTTTCTACTTTTGGTGTAATAATGAATGCATAAAAAAAAAATTTAAACTACATTCCCAGGTAATTAAATCCCCCCATTGAAGTTAAAAAAAAAAAGGCTCCATGCCCAAATCTTCAGTAAAAAATAAAATAAAATAAAATAAACAAAGAGATAAATAAAAGATAATATTAAGATTAATGGGTGATTAAATTCACTCACCCCTTCAAATAAAAATTTCCTATGACAAAATGATACTCATACGAAATGACAAAAACGACAATTATAATCGACTTAATTACGAAATTAAATTTTTAAGAGAAAACTTACGATATAGTTTTTTTTTCTTTCTTTCAACCGACCCTACATATTATACCTCAAATTATGAACTATTGCTATTTTGAAATCCATAATAAAACCCTATTTTTACCTTTTAATAACTTTTACAAAAAGTTGCATGCAGATATCTTAAATTTTCTTTTCTATTTGTTTGTTGTATGATTATTATTATTATTATTTTCATTTTATATTTTTGTTTAGGGTTTAAACATGAATTTATGATTAAAAAAAAAAAGGAATCACAGTGTATCTTTTTAGTTTCTTGATTGGAAAGCTTTTATTTTGGCTTCATAGTTGTTTTCTTTTTTAGTGCAAAAGAAATGAAAAAAAGAAGATGTTTAAGAAACAAAAAGCTTTCTAGAATTGATACAACGACAACTAACAATTCATAGAACACATTATCTCAATTATAAATTTATGCGGATCAGAACTTTAGGGTTAAGAACATAATTTCTATCCTAGATTTGATGAGTCATGAACATATGATTAATGGAAACAAAGCCTGATAATTTATGAAAATAGTTGGGGTAATCTTAGAATGACAGGGGCGTGTGGAAAATAAATTTAATCTTTTTAAAATTATATAGTGTATATTTAAAAAAGAGTGTAGAGAATAAAAAAAGATGTGAATAGAATTATTGTTAATAATTTTATGAAAATAGTGAGGAGTAATTTTGGAATAATAAGGATATGTAAAAAGAAAATTTAGTTATTTAAAAATTATGTAGAGTGTGTAATTAGAAAGAAATGTGAATAGAATTACTCTTTTAAAATTAGCTATGCATACATAAAAAAAAAGGTACGCATTCTATATAATTATAATAATATATGACATCAGAGTTAACACGTAAATGTACAATTGGTTAAAAATGATCCATAATATTGCATAGTATTGGCTCGTAACTCTCTTCCAATCATATCGGACAGTATTTTTTTTCCCCCTCGAATTCTTCAACAATTATTATTCTGAAAGGGTCAAATAACGGACGGCTGCCTAACGAAATTTAAATACTACTGGTATATAGAATGTTATTTTCTATATATATTTACCTATCAAAGCTAGGTATGACATACAAACCCTTAGAGTAGTAAACAATTATGGCAGGCTTCAAGCAGTACTCGTCTCCAAATTATTGCGTTTTCATAGTAGCTTCCTTGACCTTCGCCGCGACCGGGTGTCTCGCACATCATCGGCCTCCATCGGCCGTCAAAGCAGCCTATTACCCTTCGTGGACTACCAGTTTCCCAGCTTCAGCCATAAATACATCTTTGTTCACTCACATCTTCTATGCTTTTCTAGCTCCAAGCAACCTGACCTTCAAGTTGGAAATATCGAATTCAACGTCAATTTCCCTTGGGAATTTCACGAGCACACTCCGCTACGCTGATCCCCCGGTGAAGGCGCTCTTCTCTGTCGGCGGGGAGGGCAGCGGAGACCATTTTGTGAGCATGGCGTCGGAAGCCTCCTCACGTAGAATTTTCATAAAATCTTCTATAGAAGTTGCACGTAAGTATGTATTTGATGGGGTGGACCTTGATTGGGAATTTCCATTAAGCCCAAACGAAATGAAGCTCTTAGGCCGGTTGATGAAAGAATTCAGGAACGAGATCAAGAAGGAGGCCCATCTCACGTCTCGGCCTGCATTGCTGCTCACAGCAGCAGTGTACTTCTCTTCCGACTCCTTCTTGTCTGGTGTCCCCCGCTCGTATCCAGCGGCGTTGATGGCGAAAAGCTTGGACTGGATCAATGCCATGTGTTATGACTACAATGGGGCCTGGAGTAATATTACCGGGCCCAATGCCGGGTTGTTTGACCCCAGTAGTAACGTCAACACTGTATACGGGCTCAAATCATGGATCAGGGCTGGGATGCCGTTGGAGAAAATTGTCATGGGCCTGCCACTCTATGGCAGGACGTGGCATTTAAAAGACCCGAATGTGAACCGAATTGGGGCAATGGCGGTCAGCCCAGGCCCAGGAAATGGGATGCTCAGTTTTTTTGAAGTGGACAATTTGGTGAAAGAGAATGGTGCAAAGGTGGTATACGATGTGGACACTGTCTCTGTATATACAGTTGTCAATTGGTCATGGGTTGCGTTTGATGATGCTCTAACAATAACTACAAAGATTGGGTTTGCTCAGGCCCTTGGGCTTCGTGGATACTTCTTTTGGGCCTTGAGTTTCGACAAAGAGTGTGTAATCTCAACACAAGGTAATTTTTTTGGCACAACTTGTGATAGTAGAACTTTGAACTTGTGTTATTCATCGATACTGCTTTTAAATGTAAATTACCTCAAATGTTTATACAAAAATGATAAATTTAAATATCAAATCTCTAAAAATAATACTTCTAAAATTGATCAGTAGTTTTTTCTCTCTAAGAAAACCTCCTTGTGAGCACAAACCCAACTTCCTTGTCACCATAATGAGTAAAGAACGCCCTTCTATTCGGCTATGGCTTGGCAGGAAACAAATGTTGCCTTTGTGTGACCTCCCTTTGTTTCATGCAGAGCCATCTCCGAACGGAGCTGGTCTTCGAAAATGCTTAAGGGCATACACCCTTTTAGGACCCCATTTCAATCTGCTCCCATGGAATACATTTCCCTCTTGCTTGAGGGCAATTCAGTCTTCGAAAATGCTCATTGAACAATGTTGTAATAAATAAACTCGGTATTATTTCTATTTATACTTGTTTTGATTATGGTTTTCTTTTTTTCCTGAATTTTGCAGCCTCAAGGTCATGGATTCTTGACAAGTGAGAATCGAACGCCTCATTATTTGGCTTATTCAGAGTCATGCAACATTTATTATTGTAGTTGTTCACCCCAATGGAGCATAACTAACACTTGGGGACAAAATTGAAATCCTTCAGTCTGTTTCTCATTTTTATGATTATTGTCAAAATGATTACTCAAATTCTCTGTCAAATCCTTTTTAATTATTTTCATGAAGATTCAAAAAGTAATTATTACTACAACACAAATACCTGTCAACCACGGTAAGTTCACATCGGTCTGCACATTTAACGTCGGTTATGTAGTAACAGACGTAGAATTTACTAAAAAACGGTTTGGGATAACACTCCCACAAACCACTTCGGTTGAAGCACAACGGGGGTGGAAAGTGCACTCCCACACCCCGTTCCTAAAGTTGAATTATTGAATTTAGAATAATTAAATGTTATATTAGTAACTAATTTAGGTTTTAATTATTAATTGTTAAGATATAAGTCATCAGTTTAAATTATTTGAGTTAGATTAGGATTCATTTTACTCATGTATATATCAATTATTCCTCTCTCCTCACGGTCGCTCGCCTACAAATCGTCTGAAACCTCCCCCCCCCCCCCCCCCCCCCGGTAAATGCATGCTTGTTAAGTCTTATATTTGCTATATCTTAATAGTCAGATATATTTTTAATTTAGATAATCGGCGTCACAAATCCACTTCCGTTGCTCCTCCATCTAATCAAGCCACCGCCATCACTGGAATTGTCGGCCCTACTCTTTTTTAATTAATCCAACTAATTAATTAGAAAGATTAATTAGTTAGTTCATCTCACGCTTCATTATTAACCAAAAGATCAATTATACTTGTTACTCGAATCATTTCCTTTACAGACTTTAATTAATTAATTAATCATAGAGAATTAATTAGTTACTTCTTTTAATTAAATCTTAAATAATTTATTTAGAGATCTCAGAATTAACTTAATTTATTTCCGTGGACATTCAACATCTAATCTCGTAATTAGTCGGCCTCTCGACTTATGTAGTCTTACGCCTCAACTCCTTAATCTCCTAAAGATCGGGTTACTTATTTTAAGTTTCAGGTGTTAACTTTGTTATCAAAAAGGTTGCTGTCAGTAAATCTAAGGATCCATCTATCCTCAACTTGGGTTCTTGGGCTCATTAAAAGGACGTTTAGTTCGTTAATTCGAGTTGAGATGTGATTTTATGTGAGAGCTTTTTACTGTAGCAAAAAAGTTAAATGTGACTGTTTGTGAGAACTTTTTACTGTAACAAAACTCGAATTCTAAACTCGAATCAACAAAATGAACGGGGTCTAAGTCTCTTTATCTTAAATGGTTTATGCTAAGGTCACCTCTGGTCCTTTAAGAAATTTTGGGTGGATTTCGGACTCCAATTGACAATTTTACTCTAAGAGAAAATTACCATTTTAACCCTAGCATGTTTTGACAAAACCTATCAGTAAATCTAAGGATCCATCTATCCTCAACTTGGGTTCTTGGGCTCATTAAAAGGACGTTTGGTTGGAGGATTCAAACCATGTGATTTAAATTATTTTCGATTTACGTGAATTTTTTGTGAGAAAAAATACTGTAACGAACCATAAATCATGATTCGAATCAGGAAACGAATCCCTTTACCAAACATCTTCTAAGTCTCTTTATCTTAAATGGTTTATGCTAGGGTCACCTCTGGTCCTTTAAGAAATTTTGGGTGGATTTCGGACTCCAATTGACAATTTTACTCTAAGAGAAAATTACCATTTTAACCTTAGCATGTTTTGACAAAACCTAAGGAGTTTGTTATCCTAAATGTTATGCCCTTAAAGACCGTGAGCCAAAACTCAGAGGACGGGGTTTGTTTTGACTATTTTACCTTTAGCGGTCAAAATTACCGTTTTACCCCTAACGGCTTTCTAAATAACTAATAGGTCCTGGTCTTGGCTAACTAGACCTTTCAATGTATAAATAAGGTTCTGGAATCCTATTTACAGGTTGATTTGAAACTACGATTTTATCGCTAATGTCGAGAATTTTGACGGTTTTACCCCAATAGATTCATCTTAAGACAAGGATCAAAAGTCTCAACTGGGCACAAGGCTGATTCTAACCAAAAAGTTAATTTTATCCTCGGTTAAAGTTTGGTCAACTCAAATTCCGGACGCGGTAACTTTTTAGTGGTGCAGAATCTAAAAAAACTTCGAACTGTGACTTTTCTCTACTCATCTTGAGCTACAATAATTCCTTGTAGCTAAGGCTAATTCGGCCTCTATCTAGGACGTCCTTTGTAAATCTGCATGTTTTTACACTTACGGGCATTTTCGTCCACGTTATATTGTTGAAAGTTCTCGGATCTGAATCAAACTTTCCAGACCTCCATAAATCACTTATAAGCAGTTTAAAGGTTGCACTTTTATACCATATTAACCATTTTTCATGCCAAGCTTTATATCTCATGCCATACTAGTTTAAATTTCTAAATTTTCACAAGACTATTGCTAGTCTACTAACAAGTTAGTGTTTTTCACTTTATTTTCATGTTTCCAACACTTTAAAACCAGATCTAAAGTCCTCAAACATAGCCATATCAAAAATCATAATATCAATTTCACAACATCGTAGATCTAAGGGCAAGAACCTAGACAAAAAATGTCTTATTTCTCCACAAAACCAATCACAACATTCAAGTTGACTTTCTTAAGGTGTTTACCTTTGTTTGATGCCTCGATCTTTTCAGTATTCTTAGCCCTCTCAAGATCTATATATTTTAAAACAAGATCAAAACTTTTAAAGGAAAAAATCCACATAAAACATTATTTCTTAAGAAGCACAAAAATCAAAACCCTAGATCTAGGTTTCTAGTGAGTTATCCTCTTTACCTTGAGTGGGCTCCTAGATCTTCTTGAAAACTCCTAGATTGAAGACAACCTCTAGGAGAGAAGATACACCTTTCAATATTTTTTAAAAGAAACACAAAAGGAATGAACAAGATTAAGCTATGAATATGGATTCTTACCCACAAACTCTTTTCTATATTCTTGGATCTTCAAGCTAGGAACTAAGAATCAAGATTTTGGGACTCGATTGGAAATCTTTTTGGAGAGGAAATCTACTAGGGGTTGCAAGTTTTGGAGAGGGGAAATGAGAGAGAGTTTAAACATTTTAACCCTAGCATGTTTTGACAAAACCTAAGGAGTTTGTTATCCTAAATGTTCTGCCCTTAAAGACCGTGAGCCAAAACTCAGAGGACGGGGTTTGTTTTGACTATTTTACCTTTAGCAGTCAAAATTACCGTTTTGCCCCTAACGGCTTTCTAAATAACTAATAGGTCCTGGTCTTGGCTAACTAGACCTTTCAATGTATAAATAAGGTTCTGGAATCCTATTTACATGTTGATTTGAAACTACAATTTTATCGCTAATGTCGAGAATTTTGACGGTTTTACCCCAATAGATTCATCTTAAGACAAGGATCAAAAGTCTCAACTGGGCACAAGGTTGATTCTAACCAAAAAGTTAATTTTATCCTCGGTCAAAGTTTGGTCAACTCAAATTCCGGACGCGGTAACTTTTTAGTGGTGCAGAATCTAAAAAAACTTCAAACTGTGACTTTTCTCTACTCATCTTGAGCTACAATAATTCCTTGTAGCTAAGGCTAATTCGGCCTCTATCTAGGACGTCCTTTGTAAATCTGCATGTTTTTACACTTACGGGCATTTTCGTCCACGTTATATTGTTGAAAGTTCTCGGATCTGAATCAAACTTTCCAGACCTCCATAAATCACTTATAAGCAGTTTAAAGGTTGCACTTTTATACCATATTAACCATTTTTCATGCCAAGCTTTATATCTCATGCCATACTAGTTTAAATTTCTAAATTTTCACAAGACTATTGCTAGTCTACTAACAAGTTAGTGCTTTTCACTTTATTTTCATGTTTCCAACACTTTAAAACCAGATCTAAAGTCCTCAAACATAGCCATATAAAAAATCATAATATCAATTTCACAAGATCGTAGATCTAAGGGCAAGAACCTAGACAAAAAATGTCTTATTTCTCCACAAAACCAATCACAACATTCAAGTTGACTTTCTTAAGGTGTTTACCTTTGTTTGATGCCTCGATCTTTTCAGTATTCTTAGCCCTCTCAAGATCTATATATTTTAAAACAAGATCAAAACTTTTAAAGGAAAAAATCCACATAAAACATTATTTCTTAAGAAGCACAAAAATCAAAACCCTAGATCTAGGTTTCTAGTGAGTTATCCTCTTTACCTTGAGTTGGCTCCTAGATCTTCTTGAAAACTCCTAGATTGAAGACAACCTCTAGGAGAGAAGATACACCTTTCAATATTTTTTAAAAGAAACACCAAAGGAATGAACAAGATTAAGCTATGAATATGGATTCTTACCCACAAACTCTTTTCTATATTCTTGGATCTTCAAGCTAGGAACTAAGAATCAAGATTTTGGGACTCGATTGGAAATCTTTTTGGAGAGGAAATCTACTAGGGGTTGCAAGTTTTGGAGAGGGGAAATGAGAGAGAGTTTAAACTTCTAAGTTTGTAGAAGAGAGGGGAAAAATGAAAAATTACAATACCCACTTAACCTATTTATAGACAAGCTTTATTGGGGACTAAAATGCAACAAAAGTTTTGCTTAAAAACCCCTCACAATGGCCGGCAAAGTATCATAGGGAAATGAGAAAAGTTTTGCAAGTTTCTAGGTGTAATGATTTTACTTTATCTCTTTGTCTAATGTATATTAAGCTTCATTTCCATTTTGGTCCACGGTTAATTTAGCAAAGGTTCTCCTATCTCCTTTTTCCATTTTTAGAAAGATTCCTTGTCACAACTTTTTCATGGATGTCACTAGGCTTAGAAGAGATAATCTTTTTGTCTTATAAGGGTGTGGTAGATTTAATTCTAACCATTGATATGAACTGCCATTCAATCTCCACCGTTTGATTGGAATCATTTCCCATGACTCTTGTGATTTGATAGCTTGATTTTATTACTTAAAAATCTTGGTTACTTTTGTTTGTTCTTGGTGTTTTAGCCTGTTTTTATTGTGTTTTATTTTGCTTTCATAGGTTTGAGTTAAAATGAACAAAAAGGTCTTCAAAAGAGTAGAATTGGGAGCCAAATCAAGCCATGAAGCCACTGTAGCAAAATGGAATTCGTGTTGCAGTGCGGACTGCAGAAAGCCAGGCTCAAGTCCCTGCCTCAGGCGTTGTAGCGCTTACTTCTTACATTGTAACGCACCTTAGAAACTAAAGTCCTGCTGTAGCGGGAAAAATACTTGCTGCAGCGGGTTTTCTGGCGCTGCTAAGGTCTTCTCAAAAACCCCTAACGGCGCTGCAGCGGGAAAGTGATCAATTGCAGCACCTCCACGCGTTTTGCAGTCATTGAAGGTTTCATTTGCACTGAGTTGAAGGGTAGTATAAATAGAAATGGGCTAAGAATAACAAGGGGACGCTTGGAAACACAAAAAACAGAACCAAAAGAGGAGAATACAAGGTTTTAGAGAGCGTGCTTGGAGATTAGATGGGAGCTTGAAGATTTGGAGCTTGTTCTTGAACGAGTGTTATTTCCTTCTTCTCCTTCCTCTTATATCTTCTAGAATTTGTATTTTCCTTGATTGTGTGTAGACCATGGATATGAGATTTGGATTGTTTATAGTTTATGCTATGAGATTATTGATGTATACTTCTAGCTAAACTGTTTAGAGCTAGGGATTTGATGTAGTTTTACCATTGTTATGTTATGAATTTTCTCTATGCTTGTTAATATATTTTCACTTCAATCCATTTGTGTTTCTCTATGCTTATTGTCTAATTTGATTATCCATTGAATTATAGATATAGATGGGTAAATTTAGGCTCGGGAGAGTTACTTTGACATGTTGGATTTCGTGAAGCACAACCTAGAGAGTTCGAGAGGCCAATAATTCGGGTAATCAATGTTAGGTTGCTTAATGGATGCTTGATTTGGTTAGACTAATAGGGATATTGTTTAACTGGGTCTTGCATACTAATTTACTCGGCACTCAGGAGAGGGAGTGAAATTACTTTCGAAAACCTAAGTTAATGAATTCAGTGAAATTAGTTAACAAGCTTAAGAATCAGATTAGCATAGCTCGGTAAGATGAAATCAGACCCCTAGCCGCTTTAATACCTTCACAGTTCCCTTTGATCCGTTCTTGTTTCGAAATTACTGCTTTACCTGCTTTGTTTGTTTAATTCTATTGTTTTAATTGCTATATTCACTCAAATTTGAATGCCTAGATAAAGTTATTGTTATTGTAATTGTGGTACTTAGTTTAACTTGCAAAAACTAAATCTCTGTGGGACGATATCTGTACTTAGTTATGTTGGTTTTGAAATGTTTACAAAGTGCATAAGCGTGGTAGTGCGGATCGTGCATAACAAAAATTTTCACAAAACTTTTGAATACGCTATAGATTATATTAACTTATGCAATAATAAATTAATCTCATTAATTTATGACAATAGACACCTTGCTAACGATTAGGCAGATAACTTGATTTTTTTGGCCAATGAACAATCCTCGCTCCAAAACTTTCTTAGAATACCCAAGCCTTCCTCGTCTACTCCTTTAAATTCGCAAGATGATGAGTGTGGGCTCAAGGTAGTAACGAGACAATAAGATTTGACATATTGTTGGAATAGATAGTAAATTCAATTTCAATATTATGTGCATGAATATCATAAATAATTATTTTGGCATAATTAAACGTGATGCATGATGCACATGGTAAATACATAAAAATCATGATTTTATACTAAATGCCAACGATAATCTAATTTACCACAAATATAGCGCCGCCGTAAGGTAGAGCCAAATATTCACAAATTGAACCGAGACTTTCTCAATTAACAAGATTATCAAAATGTCTCATATTTTTATTAATTATCGTTATTCTGGTCAAAATATAATTAATAATTTCATTATATTTTATGAGTAACCCACCGTTTTGGATTCAACAAACTTAACTCCAGAGTGCCGCCGTAGGGTAGGTCAAACCGAAAATACATTATTGAATCCTATCGCTAGGAAGTCAACCTTGATATCGATCTAGAATGGACATTCTCCGGAGGGAGGACGAAGTGAAAGCCGTTGTGAAGCGCCGTCCCGGATCACGATGTTGAACTAACAGTGGAGATCAGTGGGTCGTATTGCCATACATCCCTCTCCCACTCAATATTTTGCAAATATGTATTTTCTTTGAAAATCATCTCATGGTTTTCAAAACTTCAATAAAATAAACATGTTATTTCATTGAATATGTGAAATTCCTAAATTTATCTCTTAAATTTAATTTCACATAATTACATTATTTTGCAAATCAACTTAGCGCTTAATCCTTATTTTACTTTCCAAAACTCTTTTAACAAAATAAAATAAATAATAATATGCGCATGTATGCATGACATGTAATTAAACATATGAGTAGGCACACTAAATCTATATGGCATATTATATGCATGGACATATAACATATAATCATCACATGAAATATAAAATACGCAATCGGCTGTTGAAACAAATTTGACCAGGTTCCATGGATAATTAAATTACAACACAATTAAAAAATAATGGAATTAAAATTACAATAATTTACATCCGTTACATCAATGGGCCTTGAATTTAATTCTTCAGTCTTCAAATTTATCCTCTTCGGGTCTGGGCTCTGTTTTTCCTTGATCCAAAACTCTTTTGGATCAAATTGCAGGCCAAACAGGGTTTTGAAAACCCTCGGGCTCATAAGGGCCCGCTTTGGCTCACTGTGTCTCAGCCACAGATGTAAGTGCGCAGGCGGGGTGCGTGGGCGCGATGGCACATAGGTGGACGCGCGGGTAGTTGGGCGCGCAGGGTGCTGGGCATGGGGCTGCTGAGCGCACGGGCTGTTGGACGTCGCGAAACTACTAGAGTGGCAGCGGCAGCAGCAAGGATGTCTAGCGGAGGTGACCTGAAGTTTTTTGAATTTTATCTCATAAAATTACAACAAAAATCCTATACCCGAAGGTTTACAAAATTTCTAATCAAATTGAAAAATTTTGCAAATAAATTACACCAATCC